TGTAAATAAGGTAATTATAAAATAATACACTCATCCTCAAATAAAAAATGCTCAGTTTCAGAGCTCAGTTATGCAGATTACAGCACCGTTACTAAACACAGAAAACATGTACATTCATTCTTGTGAATTTGCCATTTGGACTACGTGGCTTTACTGCCCAGAGTCTAAGTATGACTCAGAAATTTTATTTCTTTCTCCATTATCAACAGAGCTTTTGAGTGGTGACAAGGAATCTGGTGGTCACATGCTCATGTGTGTACATGTGTTCATGTCCCTGTTAGTAAATACAAAGATAATTACTGACATGGAATGAAGCTCAAGTCGACAGTGAACCCACTCCTGGAGAAACTCTGGAGTATAGAAAGAAGATGGGCAAACCACTCCCCACCCCCCATCCCTGGCCAACCCATGGCACAAACCAAAACATAAAACTTAACAGTCATTCTTTCTTGGTCTTAACTGTTCCACCCATAAAGTGAGGGTGTTTATACCCTGTTCTTTTAACAGAATTGCCATGGAAATGATTTTTAATCGTAGAACTGGAAAGGTCCTCTGAAGATCATATAGTCCATTTTAAGTTATATCATAGAAGAAGAAACTGAGGCCCACAGTAGTGAAATGATTTATCAAGTTAAGACTTAGAACTTAAATCACATTCAAGGACTCTTAATCTAGAGTTCCATACCTTGTGGCCTCTCTATGTATGGAGCAATAAAAATATACAGCAGAATACCTGGGACAGGTTCTAGGGGGACCTAATAATGTTAAACCTAGATGCTTTCATTCACACTGTCTGTTAGTAAATTTGCTGCTGGTCTCTGGAGCCTTGTACGACATTAAATAAAAGCCCAATAAATGCACAGAAAATGAGTAAAGTTATTACGTGAGGCAATGTAATAAAACAGGAAGAGAGCTGTGGATTTAGAATCAAGAGACTCAATTTCTGTCCTAGATCTGCCATTTGTTGACTATAAAAATCTGTGTAATTCCAAAAGATTGGAAATGACCTAAGTGTTCACCAGTGAGGGACTGGTTAAATAAACTATAGAACATCCACATGTAGACTATTGTATTAGTTTTCTGTTGCTGTTGTAGCAAATTATCCCAAACTTACTGGCTTAAAACAACACACATTTATAATCTTAATACTTCTGAAGGACTGTGTTCTCTTTTGGAGGCTCTAGGGGAAAACTGACATCCTTGATTTTCCAGCTTCTAGAAGCTGTTCCACATCCCATGGCTAATGGTCTTTTCTTTCACCTTCGAAGTCCACAATGGCCAGTAGGGCTGTCCTCATGGCGCATCATTCTAACCTTCTCTTTGGCCTCCCTTTCATATTTTTAAGGATCCTTGGGCCCACAGGATTATTCAGGATAAAATATTTTAAGGTCACCTGACTGGCACCCTTAATTCCATTTATTAACAATTTTCCTGTGGCATATTAGGGCACATGATAAAAGGTTCAGAGGTGAGGATGTGAACATCCTTGCCTAGCATATCTGTAAAAAATCTGTGAAGAACCTCTTTATGTATTGATAGGGAAAATTCTCCAGGATATATTATTACATAAAAAATGCAAGGCAAATAAAAGTGTAAATAGTGTACTACCTTTTATGTAGAAAAGGGAGGGAATAAGAATATACATGTATATTCTTACTTGGTTATATTTGCATAATCAAACCCAGGAAAGATATGCAAGAAATACTGAAGAGTTTGCATATAGACGGGAATAGCCAGAAGGGTAGAAGGATGGAGAATGGGTTAAACAAGATTTTTCAATGTATCCTTTAAAATTAATTGGCTTTTTGAGCCATGTAAATATATGTTGTTGTTATTATTTATTTTTTTAAATCCAGACTCAAGGATATGCTTATTGATTTTAGGGAGAGAGGAAGGGGGTCAGTGTGGGGGGTGGGAAACACCATTGTGAGAAACCTCAGGTAGTTACCTCCTATACGTGGCCCCCAACAGGGATCCAACCTGCAACCTAGGTGTGCTCCCTGACTGGAGATTGAACCCACAACATTGTGGTGTATGGGATGGTGCTTCAGCCAACTTGAGTCACCCAGCCAAGGCTATTATTATTATTTTTAATTCAAGGAATTCATAATTGCCCAAAGCCTCTATTATTCATCAGCCTCGTTACTCTTCTTAAATTAGCTTGGGAACCTCAGTTGTCAGTGGCTTTATATGCAGCAGTTCTCTAACATGACAATCATAGACTTCAAAAACATTTGCCTATTTTGCAATATTTATACAGATTTATTTTATAATCTATTTACATTGTATTGTAAGATATTTTCAACATCTAGCATTCCGGTGCTGGGAATGCTGGGACTAAATATGAAGCAGGTCTTCTGATGGGCATTCATTTTATTTTTTTTTTATTTTTTTATTTTTTTATTAATTTATTTACTTTTTAAATACATTTGTCTCTGCCTTCCCCCCCCCCTTTCCCTTGCCCCCTCCCACCTTCCCTCCCTCAGCTCTTCCCCTTTGGTTTTGTCCATGAGTCCTTGCTATATGTTCCTTGACTTTCCCCTTCCCTTCCCTTTCCCTGCCCCCCCCCTTCCCTCTTGTCTCTGTTGATTTCTTTTCCTTTCAGTGTTGCTGGCCATATTTGCCTTGCTTCTTTGCATTGTTGGTTAGGTTCCGCTTATAGGTGAGATCATATGGTATTTGTCTTTCGCCCCCTGGCTTATTTCGCTTAGCATGATGCTCTCCAGTTCCATCCATGCTGTTGCGAAGTTTAGTACTTCTTTTTTCTTTCTGCTACGTAGTATTCCATTGTGTATATGTACCATAATTTTTTGATCCAATCATCTACTGATGGGCATTTAGGTTGCTTCCAACACTTGGCTATTGTAAATTGTGCTGCTATGAACATTGGGGTGCATAGGTTCTTTTGTATTGGCGTTTTGGTGTTCTCAGGGTATAGTCCCAGCAGGGGAATCGCTGGATCAAAAGGCAGTTCCATTTTCAGCTTTCTGAGGAAATTCCACACTGCTTTCCATAGTGGCTGCACCAGTCTGCATTCCCACCAACAGTGGACTAGAGTTCCCTTTTCTCCACAGCCTCGCCAGCACCTGTTGTTTGTGGATCTGTTTATGATGGCCATTCTGACCGGTGTGAGGTGGTACCTCATGGTGGTTTTGATCTGCATTTCTCTAATGGCTAGTGATGCAGAGCATCCTTTCAAATGCCTCTGGGCCCTCTGTATCTCCTCCTTAGAAAAGCATCTGCCCAGGTCCTTTGCCCATTTTTTGATTGGATCGTTTGTCTTCTTGGAGTCAAGTCGAGTGAGTTCTTTGTATATCTTGGAGATCAAACCTCTATCTGATGTATCATTAGCAAATATATTTTCCCAAATGGTTGGCTCCCTTTTCATTTTGCTGATGTTTTCTTTAGCCGTGCAGAAGCTTCTTATTTTGATGAGGTCCCAAAGAACCAGTTAAGTCGTGAACATTTTCATGTTATAGTCATAAAATTACAGGAATTTAATTTCTCTATTTGAAAGCAGAAATTTGGATAACTATGCAAAGCTATTAAATATACTTAGATCAATTTAAGTGTTTATTATTCTCTTTCCTTGCAGAAGTCTTTAATTATACCTTAAATTTAATAGCAATATTGTATTTTAATAGATCTCTAATAGGTATGTCTCTATCATTAATTAGTCCTCTATTTAAAAAATATTTCATGTCTCCTATTACATTGATTTTTTTCCAGTCAGGTTTACATATACTTTACATATAGTAAAATTCCTTTTTAGGTATTGAGTTTTATGAGTTTTGAAAAACAAAAACAGCTATGTAACCACCACAACAACGAAGATGTACACTCAAAAAAGTTCTTTCATGCCCTTTTGTAGTGAATTCCCTAACCCCACCCTCTGTCGGTGTTAACTACTGATCTGATTTCCATCTCTATAGTTTTGTCTTTTGCAGAAAGTTATGTAAGTGCAATCCTACAGTAGTATATAGAGTATTTATTATTTTAGTATTTCCAATAAACATGAATCTTATAACATACTCTTTGCAAGATGGCCTCCGGGGGGGGGAGTAACTCAAGAAATATCATATATAATATGCAATCTCCAGACTCAGATTTGCATTGGTCATTGGCTTTACTTGGTAATTGAGTACTATTATAAACATTCTACTATTATTTATTTTGAATTAATGTTACTTTATTTCTTATTTTATTTTTTAGAATATTTTATTTATTTATTTTTAGAGAGAGGGGAAGGGAGGGAGAAAGAGTGAGAGAAACATCAATGTGTGGTTGTCTCTTGTATGCCCCCTACTAGGGACCTGGTCCCAACTCAGCCATGTGCCCTGACTGGGGATCCAACTGGTGACCCTTTGGTTTGCAGGCTGGCACTCAATCCACTGAGCCACACCAGCCAGGACTTATCTCTAATTTTAAAATCTGCTTTTGTAAGAGATTAATTTGTACCCTTTTCTTCTTCTTTTTTTTAAACAGGATAATTAGGCTGGCCAGATAAAATAATGTATAAACCTTTCTCTTTATTTCCATGTCTGGGAAAATATAAATTGTATAGTGATTTATTTTCTCAGGTATTTAATATAATAAATTTTGGCACACACACATGAAATGTGACACTTATCAAGAGTAATAATTTCCTTTCAGCATTCATTGCATTTTAATTTTTTCATACTTCCATTGTATTTTAAACTTTAAAAATTATTTTCTGCTATTTATTTTTCAAAAGTAAACATAATAGCTGAGGTTAAATATAAAATGATATAGGTGAGACTGATTACATAGAGAAAGCCTTGTTTTTGGTATTAGTCATTCTATTGCTCAAGTTTCTAATTTGAGTCTAAATCCCTTAGAAATCTGGCACATTGCAATAAGTGGCCCACCAAGAGGAGTGGCTGCTAGAGACTATGTACATATGAAGAGGTACATATATTCAGAGCAATCAGACTTTCAGCTTGACAGACTACAGAGAGCAATGAAAAGGTGATACTCACATCCGAGTTAAAGCGAAGCTGACAGACATTACAAGAAATAACTTGTTTCTTCTTTGGAGGAATGGACACTCCAAATGTGTGGTTAATGACTGCTTTTTGCACAGGATCCATCTGAAGAACAAATGATAAAATAGTCACTTTATAACTTCAAAGGATGGGCAATAGTTTGAGCAAGTAAAAGTAGCTGTATTATTCCTTAAGGTTTTAACTTTTCATTCCCAAACAAGGATAATAAATAATCTCATTCAATAGTAATGTATTTGTTTCCAGAAACTGAAAACCAAACCAAAACAAAACAAAAAAACTGGTTTGAAATCATAACAGAAATCATTGGAGAACCCAACATCCCAAGAAATCACATGTATATAAGGAGCCTTGAAAAACCTTGAAAGAGTCATAAAACAAGAAAATTTAAGATCCAAAGGTCAAGGTTAAAATTAACTTGCTAATGCTTTCCCTAACTGGGGTGAAAATACTTATGATAGTCTGGAATGATCTCAAGGACAATTATTACAGCTATATATAAGTTTCCTAAATTATGATTTATGGCAAAGTCATAAATTACAGACTCATATCACAGCCCATAAAATGTTGATTTTTATTTTAAAATAATTTATTATTTTTCATGTACTATAGATGAAATTCATTATACGGGAAATGAATGTCAAAACTGTACACTCAAATGCCCATAACAAATTGGATAATATGCAACCCTTGTTTAAATTTTGATCCAGTAAAGTTTTTTGATTTATAACTTGTGACTTTTCTTCCTTTGTTTGCATATACCATGCATATTCCGAAAATATAATGATTAAAGTACTCAACCATAGAAAAAGTATGGCACAAAGCCATGACAATACTTGGGAAAAGAAAAAACATGATTTGCAGAGCCTATAAAAAGAGAGACACGGCAGAGATTCTCTTGTATAAGCCAGATAATAATCTCCAGCATTAACAATGAACAACTGGCAGTTCAAAAAACAATGTGGATGATGAACAAAGCATTACTTATAAACAGATGGAACATGAACTGACACCATCGTCTAGGAAATCTCCTGAGGTTAGAGTTTAGGACTGGATTAGTTGATACTTGGTAGAGAGGAGAAATGAAGGCTATCCCTGGTCAGGACTATGAAACAACAAAGTGCAAAAGTAGCAATTAGAAAAACTTAAATACATTAGAAAGAAGGCTGGATCACAGAATTATTGAAGAGTAAAGTGATTTATTTTTTGCTACAAGTTTAATAAAGATGACAGATTATCGTCACTATAAAGAACAGATTTGTGGGTTGGGACACTTCAAAATTTCGAGAAGAGGAGTTTTCTGAAATAATAGAACAATTCTATAACTTGATTGTAGTGGTGGGAACACAAATTTATACATGTTTTAAAATTTATAGAGCTATACAAACTCCCCCAAAGTAATTCTTCACATAATAACCTAAAAAGTAAAAGAGAAAAAATTGTTAAGAGTGTTATGTTTAACTACCAAGTGTAAAACAAATCTGGGGATTTATTTTATTCAAGGCAGTAACTGATTATATTAACTTTATTTAATGAGAATAAAAGAAAAATACAGGCCTCCACAGGCACAGGAAATTTCAAAATGTAAGAAAAGCCCTATTCACTTTCTTAGTTTATACACAAGTACGTACACTTAGGTTTCATTCATTCATTTGTAAAATATGAAACTACACTTTTGGGCTGTTACTAAAAATGAAAAATCAGGACAGGAAATAAAACAGCCTACCTATCTTGGCAGGATGGAAAAACTACACTGCTTTGCAAAGTTAAAAAAAAAAGAGGATTTTATTGAGATATTATATTTTCTGTTTTCAGGGTCTAAAAACTACATCTGGTGATATGTAAATGACATGGATTAAAACTATGTGAATATTCTTAAATACCAGTTTTCACATGCCACTTTCATTATTTTTGTGATATTCACATACTATTGTATTATTATTCAGTTAATATTTTTTCTTTAAATCAAATTAAAATCAACTTTTAAAAAACATAGCAATACTTATGAAATCATAGTTCAACTGTACATGCTCTCCTATTACTCATTTCAAAAAATATATTAAATATTAACATTAAAAACAAAAACTTTCATTCTCTACAATAAATGCACATATCTTACTGTTCCCATACCACCATAGAGAAACATAGACAAAAGATAACAGCTGTAAGAATCCAGTTCTATTTAGTAAACAAAGATATTTGTTGATAGCGCCAACTTGACTCTTGAATATACATGTTCCCTTTAAATTTTTGAAATTAATTTACAAAATAATTCCTGATAGAAATTGATTCTACTTCAATATCATATTTGCACATCAGCCTAAACATTTCCATTTATATTCCCAACTCTGAAAGCTCTATCTTAAAAGGTGACCTGTGGCTGAGCACTCCAAGAACAAAGGCAGAGGAGTACCCAGCCAGGGGCTCCCTTCAAGAAACTCTAACCAGAACTGGCTTCTCTATTTAATATACATAATCCTCCCTGTACCCACAAAATTGACTAAATAAATTCAGCCTTTTACCTGTGACTAGTCACCTGCCATAAAAAAATTTCATCCTCACTTGGAAGAGATTTTTTTCTATTTTCCACTTGATTCTCTATTTTCTTACAGGTAGTATTTCAGGAAACAATCCACTTGTTTTTTCTTGCCTAATCTCTTTTATCTTTCTCTGTTGCTTATCACAGAATTCTGTAACTGTATTTCTTATTCATCGTTTGGGGAAATGAAAGAAAACTTTAAGTTGCATAAAAAAGAAATGTTCCATTTGCCAAATCATCTGATACCTGGAAACTCACCATCTAGGTGATGGCTTGTGTATTTTCATTCGGATGCCATAATTACAAATACCCGAGTCATTTCAGTGGGATCCAGGCTTGTCAAGAACATAGAAAATATTTTCAGATCTCTCTCTCTCTTTTTTAAAGCATAAAGTGGTAAAAACTTGAATTTTTTTCTTATTCTTACAATACTCTAAAAGTTAGATGAAAATAACTATGATGTAAACTTATATTAACTCATATTTTTTGCTTCATTAATGCAATGTCAGTTCTCTATAATCATGAGATACGTATATCTAAATTGATGGTAATCATTTTATTCAATCACCAATTTTTAGGATGAATAAAACATTCAAGATAAATTAAAACAGTCTCATAAATCCTAAAGTGTGATAAATAGTGATAGATGCAAGTGATTCAATTTAGTATAGTCAAACTATGTATATCATAACAATTTCATATACAGAATATTTGGAAAAAGTTTTTGAGCTTTTGCAATTATATGACAAATTCTTATTTTAAAAAATTTACTTGACATATCAGACATTTAATTATTAAAAAGGAATGTTTTAAAATATCTTTATTAAAATGTTTATGTCACTTTTAGACGAACAAATTCCTTCTTAAATACTCAAACTAAATTAGTTCATTTTAATTCACATTGCACAACAAAGCTGTGTATTGAGAAGATTGAGATTCGTTGGTAAATAATGCTGAAAATGTTTTAAAAAAAACACCCTACCATATAGCTCTAGCTACTAATATTTCTTACCTGACAGAATTTATTGGTCCCAAATAAGCCTCTTCTTTTCTAAAAAAGTAAAAGTTAGAAGCAGTAATCTGGAATTTTGAGGCTAGCAAGCATATTTATGTAAAATTATTAAAAAATCTACTTTCTTTGTCAAGTTCTGATTAAAAAGGCTTAAATGTAAAAAGCTGTAAGAGTTAACACGTGCCATTTTGTCTAGTGAACAGCATGTAGAAATGAAAAGCTAAACCTATTAGTGCAATTAACTGGTAGGCAATAAAAATGAAAAATGGGATTGTGGCTGTTACCAAGAATCAAGGAGACAATCGGAGGCTATGTGTGGAAATATTAACCATTATACTATAGTGCTTATAAAGAAAATTAATAAAGCTGTCCTTATGATACCCTCTATATATTTTCAGTATCAACATAAGAATAAACAGGTACCTGTAGCATATCACCATGATTATGGAATCATTAATCTGTGTGAATTTTTAAGATCATTACTTTCACTGAGTATACCAAAAAGTAATTTATATCTGCGCAGTGTAAGCAATCGTATAAAAATATACAGCTTCCAATAAAACCCAGCCACAAGGAAAAGACACACACCGCAGGAACGCACTAAAGGCAGGACAAACAGCATGGGATGGGGAAGCATCTAAGGAGGGGGTTACACGGCCAAAGGACTTAACACTAGGTGATATTTAGATTCTAGGTAATTTTGCTAGCTGAAACTTTAGGCAACAAAGTAGAATCACAAGCTTTTCAACCATCCCAATAATTTCCAAGGGGCCTGAAGTTTGAATTGTATTCTTCTAAGAGCCTTATATTTTCACTAGCTATCAAATGGGACTGGGTATGGGAGTAAATTGAATTCCACCCAATTAAAAAGCAATAAGGAACGCTCAAGAGCTATACAAGGCTTTCTTCTCCGTGGTTAAATGGCTGAACACCCATACTATTCCTAAAAGTGGGGAAATTTCATCTTAAATTTAGCCACCTACTTTAACTAGTGTTCTAAAAATCATTTGGTAAGCGCTTATTGTATAATAGAGCAGGCAATTACTAACTTTTCTACTAAACAGATGTAGAAACCAGGTTTTTGACTTTTAAAATGTAAAAATCAGTCATCCAAGAAACATTTCTGGAGGCCTAAGATGTTTCAGATGCTGTTCCAGACTAGATGGGTTAGGATGAGTCAAACACAAGAAAATACCTCATTATAAAAGTTGAACAGCAAAAAAGATAGTATAAACTCTACTTAATTGGAGGGTGAGAATAGAAGTGACCACTAAGAAACAAAGGAAAAAGAGCATGATGGCCTTTCTCCTCTGTCCACTCCTACTTTGGACTTTCCGCCCCTCTGATTTTCTCAAATTTAAGCAACCAGGGTCCTCCCTTTTATGGTGACATAAAAATGTTATCCTCCCAGGGATATTTGCCTTTTAATTCCTTTTCTAGCTATGTGGTAATAACACAAAGCATTATAATAACAGCAGCCTGATTTACAGAGCTCTTACCATGTGCCAGAAACTATAGGAAGGGATTACCTTGTGTAGTCCCCACCCTCACAAGGAAGATACCATTATTACCCTCCTTTTGCAGATGAGGAATCTGAGGCTTTGAGAGATTTAGCAACTTGTGACCCCAAGTATTTTGGTTTGAAGCCAGGACTGAAACTCAGGCGCAGTCTCTCCTCTCTGTGTTTCCCAATGGAACACTGAGCAGGGATGATGCGTATTGTGCGTGGCACTCCTGCAGAGTGTGAGATTTGGGACAAAAAGATGACTTGTAGAATTTTTGGAGCCTGGAAGGCAGCTGCCTAGTCAAACCACATACAAGGCCTACTTATAGGGCTTAGATAAAAGTTTCCTGGAAAAGTGTCTTGGCTTTTCTCTTTTTGACCGATTCATGCCCCTCTTAGAACAAAGCCATTTCTTCTTGTGAAACTTAGGAAAGCGATAAATGAAAATTGGGGCTGTCCTGTTCTTTTTCCCCATTGTAACTGTTGAGTCTGCATGCACACAAACACACAGAAATTTCCGGGAATTCTTGGAGATTACGCATAGCAGGTGACAGTCATATTTTGCACCGGTTCTGGTTTTAGTGCAAAGAGGACCTCAGTTACTAAACCATTGCAGTTTAGGGCTTTCTGGAGGTTTGGCAAAGCATCAGTTTTTTAACTGAGATGTTATTAAATTACAGTAGTACAAAAAGAATGACAGTGTTTCATCCTTTCCTCTTTCAATATTGATTTATGGAAAAGAATATGACAATAGGGGTCTCATTAGAGCTTCAAATATTCATGAAGCAATACATTTAAAAGTGATAGCTGTATCAATGAAGAATAGTATTTCTCTGAAGTTACTTCAAAAAAGGCTTTGCCTTTTATATTTAAGCACCTTGATCACATGTTTTTATATTACTGTTTTAATTTTTTCAAATCCTCAATAACTTAGATAGAAATGAAACAGACACAACTATCACAAAGACAATTTTTTTTCCCTCAAAGATCAAGAAATACAAACAATTGCATACTGTTGGCAACATTAGCTCAGCTCTACAACTTTGTACTGTTTTGGATTTCAAATCAGAAAGCTCAATTAGAAAAAAAAACACATGGAATGTTACACCGGGATTGCGTGCTACTGTGAAACCTGCGTTCTTGCATCTGGAATGTGTAAAAGTTGTGACTTGCCACACTGACTCCACTTATCCTGCCCCGGGCACCCTAACAGGGGCCTGCTGAACACTACCACTGTCATTGAAATAAAGACAAATGGCATGTCACTTTCTCCACAGACTGTTGATTCAACCAAGAACCAGAAGTTGGGAAAGGTGCTCCACCATGCATCCCCAGCTCATTGCTAAAATTGCCTGTGCTTTACAAGGTCAAATGTGCCTTCATTCTCCTGAGAGACCATTACTCCACCAGAAAGTTAACCGGTCATTCAGAACTGGCATAAAGGCTAAACTAACACAACATAAAACAATACATACTTAAGAAAATAATAGTTCACAGTATATCTAAGTGTCATAGCTAATAAATCTATTACTACTACTATGAGTTGGCTAAAAAGTTTGTATAGTTTTTTTCTGTAAAATAAAAGACACAATTTTCATTTTCAACAATAACTTTATTGATTTGGATATTTTCAGTATGTTGGCTCTCTCCTGTGTGGTAGAATGTTGATTGTTCTCAACTAATGTTTCGATTTGGTCACTCTCAACTTCAACTGACCTAACTGGCTAGGGAGCATTGTCCAGTAAGAAGTCTCCAGCACCAGACTTCACAAACCACTTGTGACACATTCAATCAGTCATAGCACCTTCTCCATACCCTGCACAAATCCTTTTTTGCATTTCATTTGTTTTTATCTTTCTTGAAACAATAAAGCATACTGTGCTGAAAATGTTGTATATTTCCTTCCATCCTCAATTTTAAAATGTCTGTACAGAAATTCACCAGTTTTGGTAAGTTTTTTAAAAAATGCAAGCTCATATGACAGCCGTCACAATACAATCTAACAAAACTGTTTCAAATGAAATTAAAGACAACTAAGTGCTACTAGAGCCATCTTACAGAAAAAACCAAATGAACTTTTTGGCCAACCCAATTACTGCTGCCGCTACGACGACGACGATGACGATGACGATGACGACGACGACGACGACGACGACGACGACTACTATTTTATCAAAATGTTGTACGCTTTTACAGGTTTTTGAGTCTGGTAGACAATTAACAGTATCTGACTACTGCAGAAATTAAGTGAGATCCTGGGATGCTTTTCCAGAGCCCCCCTAGTGGTAGTTAATATTCCCTGCAGAAAATACAAGTTGAAGTGGACCCAGAAATTTGAAGCAGCCAATCAGAATAGAGCACAGCTTAGAATTTCCTTCCTCTGCCCCCCTTTTTTGTGTAAGTAGATTTAGAAAGCGTGATACCTTTCACTCAAAGTCCACATAGTCAGGCAAAAGATCTCGTGTTTATTAAACAAGAGGTGTATATCCCATTGACCAAAAGGATGGCTACTGTAAGGAAAAAACATGCTGTAACCTATTATGAATATCTATTTTGAGAGGAAAATTAAACTGCACTTTCAGGTCTTTTTTGAGAAATTGTTTCGATTTTTTCTTTTCGTGGAAGAATAAAAAGAAACATGGGATGCTACGAGATTTGTGTTTCTGCCATAAAATAATGTCCTCTTTCTAGACCGCTCTGATAGTAAAAGATGCAATCTTTTTAGAGGTTAAGTGTTTTGTATCAACTTAGACAGTTCTATCCTTGGGAATTTTTACTCCTTCCCAACACATCACACATTTATAAAGGACCTTCAGTTTGTATGAAAAGTGATTTTTCTTGAAAATTCATTCAACAAAAGTTTATTAAGTGGCTGTCATATACTCTTTTAGGAGCTGGACATACAGTGGAGAACAGCCTTCAAAAATACAATATTCTAGTTGGGGAGACATATATCTAAAATAATAAGGTATTTTCAATGTTTTAAATACCACGAAAATAATTAAAGTAGTATAATGGGAACAGAACAATATTTTATTATGGATAATTCCCATAAACATTTTGGTTGTCTTGATACAACTGTGATTCAGATACTTGTATATATAAGACCATACTAAATACATAAAAATAAGAATGTTATTCCATGAATTAGGGGAGTTGATACAGAATTGAAATCATACAACGTGTAACAACTGTAGAGTAAGGGGGCATGGTCTTTAGCTTTCAAAGTGGTCTGTGAGGTCTTTGAAGAGGATTTTCTTCAACGACTAAGTCCCCAAGACATCAGCTGGATCTCAGAGCCACGCCTGTCAGCATATCCCCGAGGAGAAGGGGAAACCAAGATGACCTGCATTTTGGAAGTTTTCTAAGTGCCAGATGCATCTCAGCGAGAGACCTTTCTAGTGGGTTTCTGGTGCAGTGTCATTGGCCTGGTACTTAGGGAGTAGCGAAACAAACATGTGTTACTTCTTTTGTTTTTTAAATAAGTACATATTTTTGTCTAAGATCGAAGTTTCTTGTGATGATATTACAAGAA